CCATCATAGGGAACCCGAAAGGGGCGTCGTGGGGGTGCTAACACCTTCCCCATGCGTAACTAACTCCCTTACATAACTCTGGTTATAATGGCCAAGTTTGGTTTTTCTTAAAATCAACGCCTTTTTATCCTTTTCCAATGATTATGGTCAAAACATTGGTGGCAACTTCATAAGAACCCTTTCGCGAAAACCTTGCTTTTATTAGAGGATAGTTCAGTTGTTGAGCACCTCAGAAGCAATGAACACATTTTAAAATAAAACGTGAGTCTAAACCATCTTTTCGCGACCGCTCGCATAAACGTTCGAGATGTCCCTAGACGTCGGAACGGACGGCGGCGACATGAATATTTAAAGAACAAAATATACTAAATAGTTCAAAAGATAATAATATATTAAAGATGCAAAACTAATATGAGCTCAAATATAGTTGAAAGTGCTAAAACTCTGTTATTATTCATATTTAGTCAGAATTCAAATCATTTGAAGTAATTATGTAGATATGTGTATCCAATCATTGCAAGAACAACAACCACCAAAATCATTAAGATAGGTGAACAGTTAATTGCAGTAGTTGTTGTTATCTCTTCAGTCTTGTTCTTGGTCTTTATTTTGCCATCTGAATTTTCAACCTCACTGGTTAGAGTCTTACCAGCAGACGTCTTCACAAGCATCTGCACACCATCGCCAAAACCACCACCACGGAGACGAAGAATGAGATGAATTGATTCCTTACTATCGTACAAATCCTTATCGGCACTGTGGATTGATGGAAGAAGAAAGTTGAGAAAGAAAATAATAAAATATCTAATAAATTATAAAATTTTGGTTTAAGTTATTGAAACTAAAACATAATGAATTGTAGACCCCTAATTTTGTCCGGTCTCTCAATAAAAGACCAGAAGACTTTCTATCTGAATATAAAGCTTAGGTGGACGTCTATCGGCATCAATCGGCTTCCGTCTGAAGAAAGAAAAGCTTCCCAGGAGTCCCAGAACACAAAATTTGGCCAAAACACTCGAGACAGCCATCCCAGAAGTCGGGGCAGCCGTCCCAGTCAGTCCAGATGGCCGTCCCACATGCCAGACGGCCGTCTCACCCAATTTTGACACTTGGGATGGCCGTCTCAGATCCCAGACAGCCATCCCAACCTCTGCAGACTGCAGTCCCTTTTTTCTGCACCCTAGACGGCCGTCCCGAGCTGCCAGACTGAAAAAACTATAAATAGGAGCTCATTTGAGCATTTTTGGACACACCTGACTCTTCTCTTCTCTCCCCCTTTCGAATAAACTCTTCAATTGCCTATAAGGTAACAATCGGTTAAGGAAGTTTCTTCCGGCATTCGATTCTTCTTAGAATTTAGGTAGAGTCAGTCCTATATTCAGGGAGGAGAGTCCTTGTAGTGCGGGGGATTGCCAAAACGCATCCTCACAGTTGAAGAGCTATAATAAAAAAGCTTCCTAGGAGGTTCTTTTCACTTCTTTTCTCTTTTATTGCTTTATTTATTGCTTTATGTCTGCAATAGAAAATAGAATCATGTAGATAGTCTTTCTTTAATATTGTATAATAAAATAGGATAATAGCGTAATTTCTCTTAATCTTTACTTTATGAATCAATCCGTCATAGGGAACCCGAAAGGGGCGTCGTGGAGGTGTTAACACCTTCCCCACGCGTAACTAACTCCCTTACCTAACTCTGGTTATAATGGCCAAGTTTGATTTTTCTTAAAATCAACGTCTTTTTATCCTTTTCCAATGTTTATGGTCAAAACATTGGTGGTGACTCCATAAGAACCATTTTGCGAAAACCTTACTTTTATTAGAGGATAGTTCAGTTGTTGAGCACCTCGGAAGCAATGAACACATTTTAAAATAAAACGCGAGTCTAAACCATCTTTTCGCGACCGCTCGCATAAACGTTCCAGATGTCCCTAGACGTCGGAACGGACGGCGGCGACATGAATATTTAAAGAACAAAATATACTAAATAGATCAAAAGATAATAATATATTAAAGATGCGAAACTAATCTGAGCTCAAATATAGTTAAAAGTGTTAAAACTCTATTATTATTCATATTTAGTCAGAATTCAAATCATTTCAAGTAAGTACATAGATATGTGTATCCAATCGTAGTAAGAACAACAACTAGCAAAATCATTAAGAGAGGTGAACAGTTAATTGCGGTAGCTGTTGTTATCTCTTCAGTCTTGTTCTTGGTCATTTGAAGTAATTATGTAGATATGCATATCCAATCATTGCAAGAACAACAACCACCAAAATCATTAAGACAGGTGAACAGTTAATTGCGGTAGCTGTTGTTATCTCTTCAATTTTGTTCTTGGTCTTTATTTTACCATCCGAATTTTCAACCTTGCCGGTTAGGGTCTTACCAGCAGACGTCTTCACAAGCATCTGCACACCATCGCCAAAACCACCACCACGGAGACGGAGAACGAGATGAATTGATTTCTTGATATCGTACAAATCCTTATCGGCACTGTGGATTGATGGAAGAAGAAAGATGACAAAGAAAATAATAAAATATCTAATAAATTATAAAATTTTGGTTTAAGTTATTGAAACTAAAACATAATGTATCTGTAGACCCCTAATTTTGTCCGGCCTCTCAATAAAAGACCAAAAGACTTTCTATCCGAAGATAAAGCTTCGGTGGAAGTCTATCGGCATCAATCGGCTTCCGTCTGAAGAAAGGAAAGCTTCCCAGGAGTCCCAGAATACAAAATTTGGCCAAAACACTCGAGACAGTCGTCACAGAAGTCGAGACAGTCGTCCCAGTCAGTCCAGTTGGTCGTCCCACATGCTAAACGGCCGTCTCACCCAATTTTGACACTTGGGACGGCCGTCCCAGATCCCAAACGGCGGTCCTAACCTCTGCAGATGGCGGTCCCTGTTTTCTGCATCCCAGACGACTGTCCCGAGCTGCCAGGCTAAAAAAACTATAAATAGGAGCTCATTTGAGCGTTTTTGGACACACCTGACTCTTCTCTTCTCTCGCCCTTTCTAATGAACTCTCTGATTGCCTATAAGGTAACAATCGGTTAAGGAAGTTTCTTTTGGCATTCGATTCTTCTTAGAATTTAGGTAGAGTCGGTCCTGTATTCGGGGAGGAGAGTCCTTGTAGTGCGGGGGATTGCCAAAACGCATCATCACAGTTGAAGAGTTATAATAAAAAAGCTTGCTACGGAGGTTCTTTTCACTTCTCTTCTTTTTTATTGCTTTATTTATTGTTTTATGTATGCAATAGAAAATAGAATCATGTAGATAGTCATTTTTTAATATTGTATAATAAAATAGAGTAATAGCGTAATTTCTCTTAATATTTACTTTATGCCGTCATAGGGAACCCGTAAGGGGCGTCGTGGGGGTGCTCACACCTTCCCCACGCGTAACTAACTCCCTTACCTAACTCTGGTTATAATGACCAAGTTTGGTTTTTCTTAAAATCAATGCCCTTTTATCCTTTTCTAAAGTTTATGGTCAAAACATTGGTGGCGACTCCATAAGAACCCTTTTGCGAAAACTTTGCTTTTATTAGAGGATAGTTCAGTGGTTGAGCACCTCGGAAGCAATGAACACATTTTAAAATAAAACGCAAGTCTAAACCATCTTTTCATGACCGCTCGCATAAACGTTCCAGATGTCCCTAGACGTCGGAACGGACGGCGGCGACATGAATATTTAAAGAACAAAATATACTAAATAATTCAAAAGATAATAATATATTAAAGATGCGAAACTAATTTGAGCTCAAATATAGTTGGAAATGCTAAAACTCTGTTATTATTCATATTTAGTCAGAATTCAAATAATTTGAAGTAAGTACGTAGATATGCGTATCCAATCGTAGCAAGAACAACAACTAGCAAAATCATTAAGAGCGGTGAACAGTTAATTGCAGTAGTCGTTGTTATCTCTTCAGTCTTGTTCTTGGTCATTTGAAGTAATTAGGTAGATATGTGTATCCAATCATGGCAAGAACAACAACCAGCAAAATCATTAAGACCAGTTAATTGCGGTAGCTGTTGTTATCTCTTCAGTCTTGTTCTTGGTCTTTATTTTGCCATCCGAATTTTCAACCTCGCTGGTTAGGGTCTTACCAGCAGACGTCTTCACAAGCATCTGCACACCATCGCCAAAATCACCACCACGGAGACGGAGAACGAGATGAATTGATTCCTTGATTTCGTACAAATCCTTATCGGCACTCTAGATTGATGGAAGAAGAAAGATGAGAAAGAAAATAATAAAATATCTAAGAAATTATAAAATTTTGGTTTAAGTTATTGAAACTAAAACATAATGAATATTGAAAGAACAAAATATACTAAATAGTTCAAAAGTTAATAATATATTAAAGATGCGAAACTAATCTGAGCTCAAATATAGTTGGAAGTGCTAAAATTCTGTTATTATTCATATTTAGTGAGAATTCAAATCATTTGAAGTAAGTACGTAGATATGCGTATCCAATCGTAGCAAGAACAACAACTAGCAAAATCATTAAGAGAGGTGAACAGTTAATTGCAGTAGCTGTTGTTATCTCTTCAGTGTTATTCTTGGTCATTTGTAGTAATTTTGAAGTAATTATGTAGATATGCGTATCCAATCATTGCAAGAACAACAACCAGCAAAATCATTAAGACAGGTGAACAGTTAATTGCGGTAGCTGTTGTTATCTCTTCAGTCTTGTTCTTGGTCTTTATTTTGTCATCCGAATTTTTGACCTCGCTGGTTAGGGTCTTACTAGTAGACGTCTTCACAAGCATCTGCACACCATCGCCAAAACCACCACCACATAGACGGAGAACGAGATAAATTGATTCTTTGATATCGTACAAATCTTTATCGACACCGTGGATTGATGGAAGAAGAAACATGAGAAAGAAAATAATTAAATATAAAAAGCGAGAAAGTAGATTGATGGAAGAAGAAAGACGATGAAGAAAATAAATAAATATAGAAAACATAAAGGAGAAGCAAATGGATACTAACCCCATCTTCTCCATGGTTGCTCTCCTTCTGCTGGTGCTTCAGAGTCCTTTAGAGTCGTCACAAGTCTCCTCCAAGCACACCCCGAAACCCACTTATATATTAGTTAAGGGCTTGGGCTTATGATTGGACTGAATCCATTGGAAACGCTGTGTGGTTAGGAATATATGGCTGTAAGATAAGAGTTTTTCTTTTAAACATTAAATAATATGCATATTCTTTTTTCTTTTACTAATATTTAAATAGAGTAAGTAAAACTTTTTATGAAAGATTAAAAATATAATTGTGATATTTATGTATCATGTTTGGTTAATTATGGATTTATAAGTGAAAATAGGTATTATTTTTCTTAATAACTAATTTTGAAAAAAACAATGTAGGATTCTTGAAATAAAAAATAGAATGTACGTTTTATGAGAAGGTTATTTCAATTACTTACATGTGAAACACTGTTTGATAACCAAAATACTTTCATCATCTGTCGTATTCTTTTCCCTCTCTAATGTTGAGAGGTTAAGTAAAGTCTTTTCATGCTTGTGATGACAATGATGTCCGCCAATATTTTGAAGTGTATATTTCAGAGAAAATTTAAAAGATCGTATAGATTTCTTTTATGACACTACACGCATTTTGACAAATTTAAAGAACACTTAATCTTTGTATGAACAGTCATAATTTATGTGCAAGAGCACAGGGTAATGCATGTACTAGTGAATCCAATTTTCTGTTTATAATATTATAAATAAGGTTCGACTCTTTGGAAAGTCCAGCAAGATACACATCAATGGGTTGGATGTTGGAGAAGTTTATATGGGCATTTCTTATTGAGTGCACATTCCTTGCTGGTTTATCTCATTCTCATCAAGGTGATGCTTTGTTGTGAAGTACTACTTTTCATTTTCAGTTTCTTTTTTTTGTTGTTGTTGTGAGTTCCATATGGTTTGTTTTGTTCATGAACCTTTTACTCAAGATATCTTTATTTGAGTTGTTTGGATTGATGGTTAGGTGGGTAGTGTCTCTTTGGAACTCTTTTCAACTCATCCATTTTCTTTGATCTCTTATATATCTTCTAATGTGTCCATGCAGCTTCAAAGTACTCCTTTGTAAGAAAGGAACATCTGCTCCACGGATCCTGTCTTATGACTACATAATCATTGGTGGAGGATCATGTGGGTGTCCCATTGCAGTAACTCTCTCACAAGGTGCAAGAGTTTTAGTCCTTGAAAGGGGAGGTTCTCCTTACACAAATCCTGAGCGAATCCACCTAAAGAACTTTGTCAACTCCCTGGCTGATATAAGCCCTTCATCCTTTTCCCAACCGTTCCTATCCACAGATGGGGTTCTTAATTCCAGGGCTCGTGTCCTTGGTGGTGGCTCTGTCTTGAATGCAGGGTTCTATTCAAGGGCTAGCTCCGAGTATGTGAGGACTTCGGGTTGGAATGAATCTTTGGTTGAGGATTCTTATAAATGGGTCGAAAAGAAAGTGGTTTTTGAGCCCCAATGCTGCAGTGGCAATCAGCAGTGAGGGATGGACTGCTGGAAGCAGGTGTGTTGCCTTACAATGGTTTTACTTATGATCATTTAAATGGGACTAAGATTGGAGGGATAATCTTTGATGTTTTTTCTTTTTCTTTTTTATATTCAAAATAATCTGAATATTTTAACAGAGAAGACCACATCTAAATACATGATACTCCAACTTAATAATAATATTAAAATCTTCTATTACTTTTTAAGTATTTATTACTATGTAGATTAAATAATAATAATAATAATAATAATAATAATAATAATAATGTAGGTAGTATGTGCATTTTTTTTAACCGAAAAACTATATAAAGCTTGGTAATTTTTTTTTTATATAAAAAATTCAAACAGCTAAAATTTGTTTTCGGAATATCCTTTGTATAATTTATTTTATTTCTTCGTGTATCAAAAGTTGAATATGGTGGTTATTGGAGTTTTGTCTTATTTATACAAAAATAACACAACACTTTTTTCAATAATAATAAAGCTAATATATATATATATATAAAAGTCTAATTTTACACATGATATTGCCGGTCAAACGAGATCAAAAGAAAAGGATGAGAAAAAGTGAAGGAAATCTGGAACCAGAAGAAGAAGGGAGGATTAGGTCTGAAGTTTTAAGAGAGTTTATATTTTGGTGAAATTCAAAATGTTCACATTGAATAAAATAAATAAACTCACATTTTGGATAGGGTGGATTATGATACTATATCGAAACATTAAAAAAAAAACTAAATATTGTATTTGTTTTTTGGATGATTTCAATAAATCCGGGTGGTTCTTGTATTTTTTATTTTTTTGAAATATATATTAATATATTATTGCAATACAGAATAAATATATATAATTACTTAATTATAAATAACAAAATTATAAAATATTTAGAAATATATATTTTTATATATAAAATATATTAATAAAAGACTTACAAATATTATCATTTTATTATTTATAAAACATCTTATTTAAATATATTTTTTTAACAATGGATGTATAATTAAACACTTAAAAATATAATATAATAATTTTATTGATATTTTAAGTTTTAAGATGAAAAAAAAATAGTCTAAAGCAATACTTCTAACAAACTATAACCTTTTAATTATATGTGAAGCCTAAAGACATACAATTGCTGATTTTTAAATACAAAAATTATGTAAAACTTTTCAAAACTTAAATTAATATTCTCAAACAGTTTTATTCATCACTTTTGGTAATCATATTGGATTTGAGTTCATCATATTTCTGAACTCTTTAAGTGTAGTAATCATATTGGAATAAAAAATGAACACTTGACTCAGATGAAATTTTGCTGTATGAGAGGTGAGAAGCAAAGCATACCTTGGGAGGACCATGATGCAGTGACTTCTTTGATGGGTTGGAACTTAAGAGATTGGAAGTCGTAAGGGGGAGGGGTTAGGGACATGGAAATTGTGGTTTGTTTGGTGGAGGATCTTGTGAGAGTGAGGCGAGTATGACAAACGGGCTTCCCGTGGATGGAGGTTGGCTTGTGGTAGAAGAATGAGAGTTTGGGGTTTGTAGTTAGGGTTGTGGTTGCCCTGACTGCCATCAGAATTAGGCTTTTTCATCATTATGGATCAAAAAATATTTGATTTTATTAAATGGAATTAAAAATTTTAAATTTTTTCAAAAGTCGTACGAAGATAAGGCGATTTTGAAAATGAAATCGTGGTTCCAAGCATGGTTTTTTTTTTTTTTTTTTCTAAAAACGTGCTACAAAGCACAGTTTGTTTGTTTTGTTTTTTTTTTTCTGAAAACGTGCTTGGAAGAAACTAATTAATAAAATCAGTTTAAAGAGTTTATTATAAACGCTTTTTCTTTCTTATTCACTCTTCGTGTTTATTATATATTCCCTTTTGTTTCTTTCTTATAGAAAATATACCGATGGCGGTTAAAGAGTTCCACTCAGATCAAGAAGCAGGAAATGAAGAAAGCACCCTACTGCAGCTAGATCCATACGAAGAGGAAGAAGAGACTCTCTCTTTGTGACCATCCTATTTACAGTAGCTCCATTAATTTAGCTAAACGGGATCGTGATTTCTCAAAAGAAGATGAAAAAAGCTTTGGTGATGACGATGATAATCTGTTCGAGTTCTTTAGTGAAGAATTCACCACTTCAAGTAAGAGTGCAGTTGCAGAGAACATAATCTTCTGCGGCAAACTCATTCCCTTCAAGGATATTCCACCACGTGTTGATGAAAGCCACAGCACTGCACGCCGGAACGTGCAAAAGGTATTACAAAACGCGGTTCAAAGAGTTTTGCATGTGACTACACGTCGACGGGGAAGGTGTCGCGGTTCAAAGGGTTGAAAGATTCAGTTAATTAGTTACTCCTATATATAAATAAATAAAATCTTTGAGCACGTTTTCAGAAAAAAAGCACGTTTGCAGTAAAGAAGAAGAAGTCGTGCTTTGTAGCACGTCTTTAGAAAAAAAAATTAGTTTCAATGCTTCCCTTCCATGTCCATTTATGGCTAGACCACCTATATAGGCATTCCAAGTACGGATATTTCTGGAAGGCATTCCATTGAAAATACGCTGTGCCATGTCTATGTAACCACACTTTGCATACATGTCAACCAATGCAGTTCCTATATGAACATCCCACTTGATAACGTGACTATCAATGTATTCATGGACCCATCTGCCATAGTCAAGAAGCCCAAGGCTGGCACAAGCAGAAAGCACACAAGTTAGTAAAACTCCATCTAGCTCAAAACCTGAGACCAGCATTTGACAGAACAAGTCTAGTGATTCCCTGGGACACTGACGTTGCACTAACCCGCTTATCATGCTAGTCCAAGAAATAATATCTTTCTCAGGTATCTCATCAAACATTTGCCTTGCATCAGTAACAGACTCACACCTCATACATATCCAACACAGCATTGCATACCACCAACTCCTTCACATATAGACATTTCAGACCCAACTCATGAATCCCTCTCCCCAAATTTAAACACCCCAATTTCCCACAATCCCCAAGTATGCTGACAAAGGTTGCTACATTAGGTTCCACATCCATCCTCAAAAACAATCCAATGGCCTCATTAAACAACCCAGCCTTGACATACCCAGATATGAAACCAGTCCAAGAGACCACGTCTCTCACAAGCATGTCATCAAACACCTTGCCAGCACTAACAATGTCCCCAGAAATGCTATAGACATGGACAAGAGTGTTTTGCACATAAATGTCGCACCACAAACCAGTCTTAACAGTTAGAGGATGAAACTGTTTAACCTCTCCAGTCCCAGAAAACTTAGCACCCAGAAATCAGTAAATCCTTTATTATAAAACTGTTAAAAAGGTTACCATATAATTAAATATAGTTGGAAGTGATAAAACTATGTTATTATTCATATTTATTTATTTAGTCAGAGTTCAAATTATTTGAAATAATAATGTAGATATGCGTATGCAATCAAAGCAATAACAGCAACCACCAAAATCAATAAGATAGGTGAAGAGTAAACTGCAGTAGCTATTGTTGTATCTTCAATCTGTTCTTCGTCTTTATTTTACCATCAGAATTTTCAACTTCGCTGGTTAGAGTCTTACCAGTACAAGCATCTGCACACCATTGACAAAACCACCGTCACGGAGACGGAGAACGATACGAATTAATTCCTAATCGGTACACTATGTATTGATGGAAAAAGAAAGATAAGAAAGAAAATAATTAAATATAAAAATCGAAAAAGTGGATTGATGGAAGAAGAAAGATGACGAAGAAAATACTAACCCTTTCTTTTCCATGGTTGCTCTTCTTTAGAGTCGTCACAAGTCTCCTCCAAGCACACCCCGAAACCCGCTTGTATATTAACTAAGGGTTTGGGCTTATGATTGAGCTGAGTCCATTAGAAAGACTATGTGGTTAGGAATATATGGCTGACATAAGAGTTTTTTTTTTAACATTAAATAATATGCATATTGAATTTTGGTTTTGCGTAGACTTGTAGATGCAGATGTTTCTCTGTTCAGGTGAAAGAAAGATTTGAACATGATGGAAAAATTTTAAATTTACCAAAAAGTTATAGTTGAAAATGATTTTCTACTGTTTTAATAGATTTTTCTACTTTCTTTCCCAAAATGGAACTGAATAGTTTACATTAAATATGGTGGTATGAATCACATTCTCTAGGAAGAAAAAGTTTACCTAGAGAAAGAAAGAATATTAAATATATGCGTATCTTCTTCACCTAATTTAAGGAAAAAAATATAATAGACTAACATTGTTCATAAAATGTATTTTAAATAAGTAAATTAAAAAAGTTAAAGTGTATTTATATATTAACATTTTAATTTTTACTTTGACAATTATTTAAAATAAAATATTATAAATTATTATAAATTAACTATGTGTTTATAAAATATTTCAATTACTATTTTCCATTAAATATATTTTAAAATAACATTACAAAGATAAATTTCAAACTAAACTTTAATACAATAGTCAATGTTGTCATAATATTTGTATATATACTTATATATCTAAAAATAAAAAAATATATAATGTTATTAGTTTATAACAAATTTACTTTTACTTACCAAATTTATATAAATAGCATTCATGTTAAGATTCATTAAATTCAATTACATTAAAATATTATTGTAATGTTACTAATTTTATCAATTGTGTAAAAGTTTCAATTTCATTTATTATAAACTACATTTTCAAAATGTATTGTCCAATTTTGTTTTAAAATATGTTTAGTGAATTGTTTAAAAATAATAATTCATTATATAATTTAATAAATTAAAAATAAAACTATAATTGTAATAATCATTATAAAATGAAGAAAGTATATCTGAATAAAAAAAAATTAGAGTTACTTAATTGATCCAGTAAAAATACACTCTGTTTTTTGTTTATTTAAATTTATAGATTTTTCCTCAGCACTTTTTATTTTGAAAGTATAACAACTAATATATTTATATGTGTTTCTATGGTTTACAATTTATATATTATGTGTAATGGAATATTGATATATTTTACTCTCTTTGTGAGATTATATAACAAAAAAAACTTTGAGCTTTTAATTTTGTTCCTTAAAATTTTTTCTCTTGATTTCCCTATGAAAGATAACACTTAATAATTCTAGTGTTTGTTCTCTATATTTTAGGTGATGATCACGGAAATGTAACTACTCATACAAAAGATAATCAACACGAAAAAGAACATTTTCGATAGTTAAAGAATACATATGTTATCTTTTACTTTAAATAAATTAGTACATTTTGTAATGTAATTCACAAGATAATATTCTTTATGTACATAACTCATATCATAATTATACGTACATATAAATCTTTAAAAATATTTAGAATTGACTAATTAAATTAGTGGCAGAATATGTGCGTCGCTAAACGTATTAGATTAAAGTAACGAAAGTACAAAACATATTTTTTCATATCATCTGTATTGGTGACGAAAGTTTTAGCGACTAAATTTTCCGCCAGTATAGATTTCAGCTTTTCTGATGACCGCATTTTCCTGCAAATTATGTGACTGAACTGATTTTCGTTGTGTTTTTAGTGTGAAATATTCTACTATTATATTATTTAATTTTTCAATTTCTTAGGCATGATATTTTCTTTAAGATAAATCAATTTTTTAAAATGAACTATTTTTTTTTGTTTTTTTTTATACTAACAAGATAAAATATTTATCAAATTTGAATATATTTACCATTTTATTAATTCTTGATTTGAATTTTTAATATATTAATTCAAATTTGAAGATATTTATCATTATAAAAATTTCATTAAAATAAATTTTTTTCAAATGTAAGTACCGTAACACAATTTGTCACAACTAATTATATTTATTTAATTTTATTTTGTGTAATTATTAAAAAAAATAAAAGAAAAAATAAATAAAACTAAAATAATTTTTTTCTTATTAACTATTTTACTCAATCTTTTAATGATTATATTGTCACGTATAATACGTGTAACCATCATATTACTCACGAAATTATAATAGTCTTTATAACAATATAAAATTTATAATTTGTTTTACATATTTTTTAATTCTATATAATTTTTTTAATATGTCTATTTCTTAATTTATTAAGTCTTCAATTTATTTGTCTTTTTCTTGATTTTTCCTTCAATTATTATAAATACTTATTCTCTAATTCTTTAATTTTTATTTTTATTACTATAAATCATATATTATTTTATTAATTTTCTCTTACTATTGATTAATTTTTTGATGTCTTAATTTTTATTTTTTGAATTTTTTATCTCCATTATTTTAATCTTAATTTTTATTATATCTATCGTCATTTTTACCTTTAATTTCAATAAATTTTTTAATTTTTTTTATATATTTATAATTTTGAGAAAATTCGCTAAACAATACTTTGAGGAGGTAGATATGCTACCTTGTTAATTAGCAACCAACTTTTATGTTGAGACGGAAGTGTTCAGTTACTAAATTACAATACATTCCAATTTATTATTTATCCATTACATTTTTACTTCTTTAACATTTAGTGTAAAAAAAAAATTATCTCAAAAATATTAGGTTTATATTTATTTTGTTGAGACTTCTTTATATATGATATATATATGATATGGGTTAACTCAATTCCCTAAGTCTACACAAATAATATATGGTCAAAATAGTTTAAAATATATTTTAATGTTTTTATAATTTAAATGGTCTTCATTATATCATTTCATAAGAATTTACATTTTTATTTTTTTACTTTAAATTTAGAACTTAAAAAATAAATTTCTATCATACTGTTAAAATAAAAATAATTTAAAATATTATATTTTGTTCTCAAGATTCATTATCATATATAATATTTATTTTTTAATTTTTAAGTTTTCGTATAATATCACATCAACTTGTTCTCCAATTTTTTTATATATATAAAATCCAAGTTTTAAATATGTAAACTTGTCTAGAACATCTACTTTAAAATACTCTAAATATATTTTTTAAAATTATTTTTCTCTATTCTTAATATCTTTATTTCTCACGTCATAATAAAATAAGGGGTTGAAAATGACAAATGATTGAGAGGACATGAGTCATAACTATGTATTTTGTTTAATTAAAATATATTACGTGTTTTGTTTATCCATATAAGTATCATATTTAAAAAAAAAAGTAATTAAAAAAAATGTCTCACTAATTTTAAAATGATTATATTTATTAATAATCATTTAAGATAATTATATAAAGAGAAAATTACCTTTTATTCATAAATTAAGATTAAAACAAAACCTTGTTCCAGTATATTTTAGATCACAAATACTTAATTTCATTTAACATCTTTTTTTTAATGGTAATATTTTAAGATATCAAATAAGAACTTATTAATCTGTATATATTATATAAAATACGTAAATGTAAAATCAAACGCGGGGATAGCTCAGTTGGGAGAGCGTTAGACTGAAGATCTAAAGGTCGCGTGTTCGATCCACGCTCACCGCATTAATATTTTTAAATATTAAAATTAATGATTTATTTTGTTTAAATATAATTATTTTATTTAAATATACTATACAAAGTTACATGAAGGATTAGACAAGGAAAATGGAGGAAGAGAGACGAAGTTATCCCATAACGGCTGGGTTTTTGCAGCGGCCACGACACCACCAGTTGCAAACAGAATGATGGATGACAGGGCAACCATTGTAGCAAGAATCGTAGCATTCACCTTGCACTTGCGAGGAGTCCATAACCTGCTCTTTTACTTCTTCCGCACTCGGAGTTACTATGAGGCACACCACCACCAACAGCAACGCAACAACACATTTCTTCTCCATTTCTTTGCTGCTGTTGGTGGTGCTTCTTTTGATTTTTCCCCTTCCCTCACCTTGCTATTGCAGCAACCAGAGGTATTTATACAATCTAATGCTACTTCCTTGCTAAATATATCCACGGTTGCCCTAACTTTAAGAACAGAAAAATTTGGAAATCTGAAAATAGGATTTGTTGCTTCCATGGTTTCTCTGAATCTCCATTGGTGTCGCTACGACGAATGAATGACAAGTCATGAAGATAGCCAGAGGAGGAAAATACTATGTTTAACATAGATTATAGAAATTACTAATTAGTTAAAATTTGTTAATCGTAAATTTGAAAAATTCAATGATTAATTCATTAAAGTGGCTCATTATCGGTTAAAAACATGAAATGTTTTTTCATTTTGATTATTATAAATTTTTATCCAAGGATCAATTATTTTAATCACATTTTTTGTTTAAGTTATTATATTGTTTTTCATATTGTGTACTTTATACTATTAATGTCATACATTAAGGAAACTCTAATTAATTGAATTTAAAACAAAATAAAAATAACATCAAATCGTACTTCTATTATATTAATTAGTGTGGTGATCATTGCCTGTTTAAATAAGATTGTAAATATTGTCACAACTTTTAGAATATACAAAAATAAAATGATAAAAAGTAGAAACTAATACATAAAGTGTAAGGGTTAGGGTTAGAATTTTTTATTTCATGTATTACTTTAATTATGTTTGGTAAAATTAACTGGAAATTTAATTAAAAGAAGAAAACTGATTGAAATTTGATTAGTTCATAGGTCTACGTTAATAGTTTGAAAATTGCTAAACTAGTTTATTAAATAATAGTTATTTGGTAAAAACTATTTATTAAATTACTTAATCAATATAAAATAATATAAATTTTGAGTTATCGATATATCATTAATGTTGAGTTATCTATTGTTGCAATATTTCAATCAATTTTAAAATAAAAGTCAAAGTTGAATTTTTAAGTAGACACAATATTTCTTTAATTGCATTGATTAACATAATTATTACACACTAATATAATAAAAAGAAACCATAATATCAATATCTTGAATCATAAGGTTAATAGTAAAATAAGTACTGGAAATAGTATAATAGTTAAAATAAAAATGTAGTATAAAATAAATAAAAAACATTATTATAAAAACTAAGAACTGATATTTTGAAATAGTATTTCATTATTAAAAAAAAAAGAATTCAAGGTGATATCTTATTTCTTGATTCACCGAAAGGTCTTTATAAAAATAAAATAAATTTATGATGGTATTGAACTTGAATCCAAAATAGATAAAAGATAATATGATATGGTGGCTTCTTTGATGGGTTGGAACTTAAGAGATTGGAAGTCGTAAGGGGGAGGGGTTAGGGACATGGAAATTGTGGTTTGTTTGGTGGAGGATATTGTGGGTGTGAGGCGAGTATGACAAACGGGCTTCCCGTGGAAGGAGGTTGGCTTGTGGTCGAAGAATGAGAGTTTGAAGTTAGGGTTGTGGTTGCCATGACTGCCATCAGAATTAGGCTTTTTCATCACTATGGATCAAAAAATATTTGATTTTATTAAATGGAATAAAAAAATTTAAATTCTTTTAAAATAGATTAAGTCGTATGAAGATAAGATTTTGAAAATAAAATCGTGATTGAAAGTACTCTTTCAATTGAAATCGTGATTCGAAACACACTTTTAATTGAAACCGTGATTTCAAGGACGATTTTTTTTTTTTTATGTGCTAGGTTTTTTTTTTTTTTTTAAATCGTACTAAAAATCTTTTTTTATTGAATACTAGGTGACTCATTTTTGACGCTGGTATTCCTAGTGTGGAATAACCCTCTATCGCAATCAAAGTAACAGGGTTGGATAGATAAGATCGGTCAACTAGGACTTCTTTTTCTTTTGACCGTGGGATATCTGATTAAAAGGGTTTTCTATATATTTTCCTTTTATTAATATAACGAGACATTTTACATAACATCCATATTCCTTTTCACTTTTCACTAACATCCAAATCTGAATCCAAACAGAACCTAAAAAAAAAAACCATGTATGTGATTAAAGATTCTGTATCAGATCTCAAATCCGAAGGATAATGAATCGGATCAGACAGTGAGAAGGGAACAGTCTTCCCAAACATAGGAAGACGGCTAGAAAGGAAAACTCGTTTTATATAGTCCTATCAGAAAAAAAACAGATACCATCAATTTAAGACAAAAAGATGACAAAAACGAAATAAATATTAACACCAAAATTGACAATATATCAAGGAAGGGTTAATATAATTGTGAAAGAATACATAGACGTATTCGTATGACATATATATCCAGACTCAACACGAGCATAATAAAACATAAATTACCGTTGAAAGAGAGTTTTCAACCGATAAAGCAAAAACTTAGAAAAATGAAACTCAATTGGTCCTTAAAAATTAAGGAAAAAATAAAGAAAGAACTGGACGCTGACTTCTTAATCTTGACCAGTTATTAATATGTTGGTAGATCACACCATTATAAATATTATGTATTTATTTATGGATGGATACGTGAGTACAACCAGATTAATGGATGGATATCCTGTACAACCAGAATAAGGTATCTAAATATGAAAATGAAAAAGAGAGATAATTAAATATAAAATTTTAGAAACGCGCCCTTCGGACCAGAGCCTAAATCTGACGCCTTAAACCATTCGGCCAA